CCCCGGCGGCGGCCGAGGCCCAGGGGCCGCGCAGCAAAAGCAAGTCCAGCAGCCCTCGACAAATCCCGGTGATCGGGGTGGTGACCGAGGACGAGGACGCTCTGGTAAGGTCCAGTGTACGTGCCTGGGGAGCTGGGGAGGCGTGGAGGGAGTAGATTGAGATCTGGAGGCGGGGACGAGTTGGGGGGCAGCAAGGACGGGAATGGGGGCCCAAGTGGACACGAGGGTATTCCGCGGGACCGAGGTTCCTGTCAACCTCCGGGCACCTATTAGCTGACCCCTCCGAGAACTGCGCAGCTGGCGAGCGGGTCTACCAACCCGCCTGGCAACTTGGGCCACCAGGTCCTCGCGATCGAGCGTCCACCCAACTGAGTAAGTGAGGCTTTGCCGCTGTGACTGCAAAAGTGTGACTACGAAGGGCCTGGGGGACTGAAACATTCTTAGCAAAGACATGAATTTGAACACTTGTTTGCACTGTACTTGTGTATGTAGATCCCTTTTATGTAGTGATGTTCTGGATAGAGGCGTATAACTTTATCCCGTCTTTAAATTTGCTGCTACTGGGTGGTGCGGGGGGAGAGGGGGGGCGGTTGTCAGGAAATTGAGCAAAAAAGAAAAAAAGAAAGAGAACTCATGGACATGGACAACAGTGTGGTGACTGCGGCGGGGGACGGGGGGTGGAGGTGGAAGAGGGCATAGAGGGATAAATGATGATGAAAAAAATTAAATTGCTGCTACTAAAACGTACACAGGGAGAAGAGGAAACTGGTGTTAAAATTAGAAATGAAGCATCGTTTTTTGTGAAATTTGAAGCTGATTATGGGGTGGGTCAGAGAGGATTGGCAGAGAATAGAATTGAGTTTTCTTTTGTTTTTCTCTTTATTTCATTGTGTGTGTTTTTATTGAATTCATTGGGGTGACATTAGTTAATTATATAGGTTTCAGGTATACAATTCTATAATATATCATCTGTATATTGTATTGTATGTTCACCACCCCAAGTCAAGTCTCCTTCTATCACCATTTCCCCCCACTTTACCCTATTCTACCTCCCCCCACTCCCCTTTCCCTCTGGTAATCACCATATGGTTGTCTGTATCTATGAGTTGTTTGTTTGTTTTTGCCTAATCCCTTCACCTTTTCACCCAGCCTCCAACCCCCTTCCCCTCTGACAGCTATCAGTCTGTTCTCTATATCTATGAGTCTATTTCTTTTTAAAAAATATATTTTTATTGTTGATATTACAGATATCTCCCAGTTCCCCATCCCCCCTCTTCCAAGCCCTTACCCCCCACTCCCCCCACCAGTATGAGTCTATTTCTATTGTTTGTTAGTTTATCTTGCTCATTAGATTCTACATGTGAGTGAAATCATATGTCACTTGTAATTGATTTAATTTATTGTGCATATATTTGGTTATGAATTTACTTGTTATGAAAATTAATTCTTTCAAGCTGATCTGTTGAGAAATTTCACTCCAAATGCTCCCTTGGGTCTCCATTGTGGTGGGGGTATTTAGAAATTCCAAGTCGTTTGTTTCATGCTAAGTTTCCATTGCTCCTCCCCAGAGAGCCATGACCAAGCCCTAAAACCTGAATTCTATGGAGGAAATCCTGCCCTGCCTCCTCACACTAATGACATGGGGCCACTGTGGGAATTACTGTTGAGACTTTACAAGTCTCAGGCTGCGTAAGGAACCTTGTCTCCTGTGTCCACAGCCTAGAGCCTGGGAGAGTTCCTTGGGAGTAGCCAGTTGACTGGGTTCCTCTTCTGCTGTGGGACTAGGGTTGGACTCTCTGAGGATGGTCAGACATTTACACAGCAACCTGCGGGGCAACAGCATTTTTGCATGAGGAGGAACGGGGAATTTACCTAGTCAGTTTTGTGGAAGTGTTTCAACCACTTTTTTGTGGGCCGTGGAAAGAAGAACTGTTAAGGAATAGCAGACTTCCACTCCCAAGGCTTCAAGGGGGCTCAACACTACCACTGTCCTCCCAGGCACCGGGCAAAACTGGGAAGCAGGTGAATTTTATATCTTACGGTTCTCATTCATTCTTCCTTTACCAGGTGTAAAAGCGGGTGGAGGACCAGGGTATAGGAGACAGGCAAGCATGGGTTAAAAAGAAAAAGAAAAAAGAGGAAATACTTTTAATAGGCCATTGTCAAAATAGTCCACAACATATCAAGTAAAGCAAAACAAGTATACCTGTGTATATGTGTGCACATTTCTTCCTTCCCCGTTTTCTTTTCCTTTTTTCCTTTTATTACTCTTCTTCCAGGGCCCAGGATTCTCTTCCAAAAAGAAATCAATTTGTATTAATTTAAGTTCCTACCTTGTTAGTAATGTCAAGAGAAGAATTCTGAGATGCGCTACGTTAAATTACATCAGTGAGAGAAAAAGACCGGAGTAGTTAACCAGTTGGCCAGCTGTGGGCTAACTAACAACAGACTGCTCACATTCCTGAAAGCATCTATTTAGCAGACTACTAGACCCTCATATCCCACATATGCATGAACTTTCAAGACTGCTCTTACTGTTGTCAAATGTAGTATTTCCTACTTATAGACTGTGTACCTGTCATAGAACTGCCTCTGCTTCACCTCCCCCTCCCCATCTGTAGCCAATGTAAATTCTTTCAAAACAACTTATATCTTTCTTCCCCAAACATTAAGTATAAAAGTGCCCATCAAGTCCAGGATGGTGGACATGTTTGTCTTTTCTCCCTAGCACTGCTGCCCTTCTATCCTTGGCACTTCCTTGTTTCATTGTCCCCAGTTTTTCTCCCCAGGACCTGGTCCTTTTTTGGCCCAATAAATCCTTCTTTTAGAAAAGCTTTCAGCCTCCAAGGTTCTTTTGTTTGTTTGTCTGTTTGTTTGTTTGTTTAACAACAACTACTTCAGGAGTATTAACGTTTTATAAAGTACTGAAGAAAAAGTATCTACCAAAAGAAATGAAATAGAATAAAAACTTATAGAGCTGGGAGAAATGATCACTTGGGTTTTGTTTGTGATTGCTTTTACAACTGAGAACCCTCAGGCCATGAGAAGTTAAGTGCAAGTTACTCAGTTTCTTTACTCAGAGCGGGGCCTAGTGCTCTTTGCCATCATTAAAATGGTAACTTTTTAGGTTGGGTAAAGGGGGTGTCTAGCAAGATGCAGGGTAGAGGTGAGGTGGCTAATGGCTGTGAGAATAGTCTGTCAACCCCCATAATAGAGACTGAGAGGGGATAAGGGTCCCAGCGAATTCAGGAGGGCAGAATAAGTGGCCCCTGTGTCAATTAAAAAGAAAAGAAAAGATAACTTTTTATTTTATTTTTTATTGTGTAAAGTTTTACTTATGTCTCCTTTTTCCCCAATTGACCCCCTCCCCCATCCCTTCCCAGCCCTAGCAGGCCCTCACGGCCCCAGTGTCTGTGTCCATTGGTTATGCTAATATGCATGCACATAAGTCCTTTTGTTGCTCTCTAACCCCCTCTCCCCTGCCATTTGTCTCTAGATCGATCTATTCTTGTTCATCAAATTAACGTTTTAGACCTCTGCCTCAAGCCAGTAGAGGAAAAGACTCTTGGAACTCTAGATATTTTCAAACCATTCCACATTTGCAACTTCCTCCTCTGCCTATGCTTGAGAGACAGTGTACCCTGGCAGCTAAAAATGAGAGTGTGGATCCTACCTTAGTTCATTAAGCCAGCTCCATCGTACACTTGAAATCACAAGTTGTGTGCTCTTTATTTCCTATTTAGTATTTTAATACTGTTCCTCTCATTCTAAAAAATCAGAAACCCGTTAGAGCAGTGCTTCTCAAATTCTAATGTACATTTGGAGCATCTGGGGGTCTTACTAAAATGCAGATTCTGATTCTGCAGATCTGGAGTAGAGCCTCTGGTGTTTGCTTTTCCAACAGGACTTCAGGTGACGCTGAGGCAGGAGAGTAAGGAGCTAAGAAAGTTCCTCGGCAAGAGGATTTCAGAAACTGAGACAGCTGAACAAACTGGGTGAGCAGTTTACAGCCAGATGCAGAAGGTCACCAGGGTGGAAAGCCCTGTGTGCCTAGTATGCTTAGCAATGGGCAATACTGGTGCTGGACCTCTCCCCCACGGCCTTTCCTCCCCTGCATATCGCTGGTTATTCAGTGTGGACCCCCTGACCTTTCCTCCCTAGAGATAATATCTAGGCCTCACTTGTATTTCAGCTCCAGGCTCAGAAGAGCAGCAAAACCAGGGGATAACTAAAGACCCCCTGCCCTGCCCTGGTCCTGACCAATCAGTAGAAAGGGCACACCTGGAAAAGCTGACGCGTATTCTATTGAGAGCTCCTCTAAGACCGCCTCTAAACTGCCAGCCTTCAAAAACCCTCAAAACAAAGGACCCAGTGCACACTCCCCTTCCCAAGAGCACACCTGCCTTTCCCCTCCCCCACAGGCCTGCATCTCCTAAACAATAAGGGATCCCACGAGACTAGCAACCAGGGGAGCAATGGGCAGTGGCAGCTTGTCAGGGCTCACCCACTGAACCTGTCTCCAAGGCCCCCTTTTCTCTGACTTCCCAGTGAGCCAGGGCCGTCCCACCCACCGTGGCTCATTTCTTTCCTATCACGTTTTTAGAGAGCCAAAGCAGCCCTGCCTAGACTCTCTCCTGCTGCTGCTTCTACCCTTGGCTCTTCCTTGTTTCACTGTTCCCAGCTTTAATAAACCTACTCTCAAAATCACCTGGACTTGTGCTGTGAAAGCTTTCCTGTACGAAGTCAAGAACCCACACACTACCAGCCCACCCTGGGCAGACCCACTCAGGGCCAGCTCCCGCTTCTGGTAACTGCGATTGTGACTAATAGAGGACCCCATTTCCCACTTGGAGCAGCTATGCTTACTGTGCTATAACTGCAGTATGATATGAACCGTGCTGCAGAATTTCACAGCAGTGAACTTGGAGAGCTGTGGGAGATAGTTTCATATGTATCCGGATTATAAAACAAAATAAACAATAACAACAACAAAACAAAATTCCAACCCTCCACCAGCAGGTCAGATGATATGGTAAAAAACAAGGGGCACCACATTGGGCTTTAAAAGAACTACTTGCTCCCTTCCTTGTCACCACAGTGCCTCAGTCAGGCCTATTAATGTGTCATCCTTCTCGCCAGCCTTTTGGCTTGCTCCTTCTCCTTTCCCCAGTCTATTTTCCAAAAACATCACTTTATCACTTTATCCTCTTCCTTCCTCCCTCTGAGTCCCACCCTCTCTCTTAAAAAAAATGTGTCTATTGATTTGAGAAAGAGAGAAAGGGAGAGGGAGAGAGGGAGAAACATCAATGTGAGAGAGAAGCATTGATGGCGACCGAACCTACAACTTGGGCATGTGCCCTGACAGGTAATAGAACCCAGGACCCTTCAGTCTATGGGACATCGCTCAACTAACAGCCACACCAGTCAGGGCCCACCTCTCTTTCTTTCGGGATTCAACAGTATCTCCTTATTGCTTACTTTATCTACACTAATAAAAGACAAAGATGCTAATTGACCATACCTTTGCTACGCCCTAAGCCACGCCCACCAGCCAATCAGAGCAACTATATGCAAATTAACCCAACCAAGATGGCGGCCGGCAGCCACGGAGCTGGAGCAAGCAGGAGGCTTGGTTGCCTGGGCGATGGAGGAAGCCAACCTTTCCGCATGCCATGAGCCAGAAGTGGCCTTCGCTTATGGCAACAAAGTTTCAATTATAGAAGATAAACAAATCCCAGATACCTGCTTCCAGTCAGCCTCCACTGGGAGCTTGGGTGGCTGGGGGTTGTGGCCAGCCTGCAAATAGCCATCAGCCCCTCACCCAGGCTGGCCAGGCACCCCAACAGGACCCCCCTCCCTGAAGGGGGTGTGTCCAGCCTGAAAATGGCCCTCAGCCCCTCACCCAGGCTGGCCAGGCACCCCAACAGGACCCCCCTCCCTGAAGGGGGTGTGTCCAGCCTGAAAATGGCCCTCAGCCCCTCACCCAGGCTGGCCAGGCACCCCAACAGGACCCCCCTCCCTGAAGGGGGTGTGTCCAGCCTGAAAATGGCCCTCAGCCCCTCACCCAGGCTGGCCAGGCACCCCAACAGGACCCCCCTCCCTGAAGGGGGTGTGTCCAGCCTGAAAATGGCCCTCAGCCCCTCACCCAGGCTGGCCAGGCGGGAATGACTGGTCACTATGACACACACTGACCACCAGGGGGCAGATGCTAAATGCAGGAGCTTCCCCCTGGTGGTCAGTGTGCTCCCACAGGGGGAGCTCTGCTCAGCCACAAGCCAGGCTGACGGCTACCAGCACGGCGGTGGTGGCGGGAGCCTCTCCTGCCTTCTCAGCAGTGCTAAGGATGTCCGACTGCAGCATAGGCCTGCTCCCTGCTGGCAAGTGGACATCCCCCAAGGGCTCCCGGGCTGCCAAAGGGATGTCTGACTGCCAGCTTAGGCCCAATCCCCCAGGGAGCGGGCCTAAGCCAGCAGGTGGTCATCCCCCGAGGGGTCCTAGACTGCGAGAGGGTACAGGCCAGGTTGAGGGACCCCCCCAAGTGCACAAATTTTTGTGTACCGGGCCTCTAGTCTAATATAATTACATTGATCAAATCTCTTCACCTCTTTAGGCCTATTCCCTTTGCTAGTGTTAAACAAAACTTTCATGGCTGAAGCCTTTCCAAAAGAAAGGGTTTATTGAGCCATATGCTAGCCAGAGAAGCCACAGGTCATTGGGCATGAAGTCTGAACCAGCAGCAGCAGCAGGGCTAGATGGAGGAGACAACACGTCTGTGGTTCTGGGGTTGGCGGGCTCTTTTACACATCACGTAGGGGAAGGAAGATACAAGTTGTTTGGAAACAATTTACATGGGCTATAGGTAAAGGGGGTGGGGGAAGGTGAAATGAGGCTAGTCCTGGGATCATACATAGTCCGTAGGGAGAAGTGCTTGTTCCTTTGGATTGCTTGGGGGCAACAGCCTGGAAAGTTCGTGTGTAAGCAAGAAGCAGAGGCTCCTAGTGGTCAGTGGTGCCTGGCTGTTCTCTTTAGATGATCATGGAAATAGCTACCTGGGATTTAATTCAGGGTTTCAATGTAAGCTCAGGAACGTAAGCAGTTTTATGTTGGTTTTGCCCTGCAGTTGTTAACTGATTAACCTCTCTGTCTCTTTCTCCCACCCTCCGCCTTGCTGTAATTAATTTAGAACAGCTCAGAATTTTCTTCTTGTCACTAAATGTGAGCCAGTACTAGATGAGTATTTCCCCAAACCTGAGGGACCATCACAACCATCTCAGGAGCTTTAAAAACAAACAGACATTGTACTGTAAAAATGTGCCCTACCCCGGATCTATTCTACAGCATCCTCAGTGTGGAGCCAGGGGCTCTTAAAATGCTCCCTCAAGTGAGTTTAGCCTCAGAACCACTGAACTAAATGATGTTTAAGGTCTTTGCCTTTCTTAAAGTTCCTCAGCTCAACTTCTCTGTCCTATTTTTAGGGGTTTCCAATGCATAACTGTACGTTATCTGTAACATTTGCTCGGCTTTGTGCTACTTCCTGAGGACAGAAACCTTGTCTGTTGGGCGTTTTCTGTAGTGTTCCCCATTTCCTCCAATATGCACCAGCAATATCCAGCACAAAACCAGGTACACAGGAGGTGATATGTAATATTTATTTAATGAGTCCCCTTCTCTCTTTTTGAATTTAAATCTTACCCTGTTGGTGGTGGTGTGAGAACAGCACCAGGTGTTAGATCAGACCAGTGGGGTTAGATTGGACCCGGGTTCAGCAACCTGGGTACTTGAGTTCTGGCTAGGAAAGAATTCAGAGTCAAGACTCAAACTATAAGAGAACATTTATTTGCGAAATCACAGAGGTAGAAGTAATCCGTAGATGAAATGGGCTTAGGAAAGTAGTTATAGATGCAAAGGAAGGGCCCTTACTTAGAAGTGAGGAAGGTCAAAGTGATACACCTGAGGGAAAGTGGGGAGGGAAAGGGAAAGATGAGGGAATGCTCCTGAGGGGGTGCCGGATCCTCTGACCTAAAAGTTTTAAGGGTGGAGGTCCCAGGGGAAGGTCTCAATAGAATATTGAGCAGCTTTCCAGGGGTGTCCTTTCAGGGTTGTTAATTTTTTAAATAAAATCATTTTAAGTAAATAAATTCATTCCAATACTTATTCTGCAGACTTAAAGTTCAAAAATTGTTTTTGCAAGACATTTTTTTAAGGTCAGAATATATGAGTGTAATTGTGAGAGGAAAAGAAAATCTAGACTTAAGAGGCAAAGGAATAATGACCCTGTAAAAATATGGAAATGTATGCATTATAGCTTTAAAAGTCAAAAGTACAATGGTGTTAATACTAAATGAAATTATGTAAAGCATTTATACATGTAAATAAAAACAGAAAATAATATGTGAAAATATTTAAAACCAGAAAATAACATAGGTTGTATTTAGATGATAGGAATAAGTAGGATTTTTCCCCTTTTGTATATTTTTATATCATCATGACATCATCTTTTCAAATGGTTATTTTAAAATAGAAGTAAGTGTGAAGGGAGGATTGATAAGAGGAAGGCAACAAAGGAGACTGGGATAGCTTAACTCATATAAGAGGAGTAAGCAATTTTGATATAACATTTGAATTAAAAAGAAAATGTTATGCAAGGAAACATTAATCCCCAAGTTAAATGTAGCCAAAACTGTATTTAGAATTTGGGGACTTCTGTATTATCATAAATACTTACACTCTGGATGATAGCACCTCCTGTTTCCTTCCCCACTTACCTACAATGAACTTGCTACTCGAGGCCCAGTGTTTGGTGTTGGGGTTGCCAGAAAACAAGTCTTTGCCCTCAAGTGAACTTTGGGGCAGGGCATGGTGGGGGATAAATCTGTAGACCATTTTAGAGCAACACTGATGGGAATTGTAACGGACATATGCTTAGGGTGCGATGGGAGCACAGAGGAGGGACATTTGCTCCACCCTTTTTCATCCCTTGGGGAGGTGACACCCGAGCTGTTGCTTGAAGGATCAATCTATGGAGGTTAACCAAGGAGAGGAATAGGATTGTGACAACATAATTGGGAACAGAGGAGGGGGTCAGGGGTGTTAATGGAGAGTCACTGAATGATTCAGACTGGTTGTGTTCAGACTTGAGTTTTATTATTTTTGCCATAGAGTGGAGGATGATGTTGAAAGTACGAGAGTAGATGGAGGCAGGGAGAACAGCAAGAAAGTAATTGAGTGAGAGATGAGAACCAAATAAATCAGTAAGAGGAAATGGGCTCAAGAAATACTAAAGATGTAAAAGCTGTAGAACTTGGAAGTTTCTGTTTTCCAATGTGGATGACAGTGAGAATGCTGGGACCACCGAGAGAGGGAATACCTAGCTCAGAAAGGCGACCTCTACCTCTAGGTTAGAAGTTAGTCTTGTGTGTATCTGCGTAGGCAAACTCAGTGGGTTGTAATGAGATGTGTAATATGCATGATGAAGAAAAGCGTGGAAGTGCTATTATTCCAGATGCTCTTTTGGGCCTCTTGGACCTAGTGAAACTTAGACATTAATATTATAAGATGATACTAGAATTCAAGAGGTTTGTGTTTTTTTAACTCCAAGATTTATTTTTACTCCTAAAAGGTCTCATCTGCTATTTATTCTTCGCTCACTGTCTCTTTGTCATAGGATATTTTTAAGTTGCCAAGGGATAAATAATATCATGAAAATACTATGTTTGATGTAACTTCTTGATTCTCATAGAATACTAAGTGTTGTATGTTTTTTTAGGGTGCTTTAAAGCCTATGGACCTAAATAGTATCATCAAACTCCTTGAAGAGACTGCTCAAGTAAGCTTTGAGAGAAAATGTTTCTGCTATATCATTTATAAACTGTGATTCCCCTGAAAGGTAACATGTATTCCCCCCAACATAAATCTCATTTCTCTCCTCTTGAAACCATTTCAAATATTCAAGGACTGTTTAAATTTAGTATGAATATAGTTAACCTGGTAAGGAAGATGGAGGAGGAGACTACATTTGGTTTTGTGGAATGGACAAATCCATGGTAAATATAAACAGAAGGAATCATAGGAGTAGAGAAAGGCTCATCTAGCCTCTGTATTTGCTTGTTACCAAGTATGATTTGGGGACCAAGGACAGAAAAAGTGTATCATGATGTACTACTTAAGTTTTTCTGATTTGAAATCAGGTTAGAGATACATATTCATAATACTCATAGGTAGTTTATTTTGAGAGAAATAATATATAGAATGTAATGGAAATAAAATTATTTTAGATAAAACTCAAAATTGAGAGCTCAGCATTGGGAAAAAGGATAATAAATACATATGTATATATGCCCACACACCCCACTCTCCTGACATTACCTAAGAACTGACTGACTGCCTAAAAGCCAGCACACACCATGAAATTACTACAAGATGAAGATTGCATGCTTTTAGGAAGTGGAAAGTGACAGTGGTAGAGCAAATCAAAACAAAAACAATGTCCTGTGATTAGTAGGCACCAAAATTTAGTCGTTGTTTTAACATTTTTTTAGTCTCTGCATTTTATATAGAAGAAAAAATACAATAAAAGTAATGACTCCATAAGAATTTATCTTTTGCTGGCTATGTTTGTTGTGAAAGTTATTTTTAATTGTAAATACATGTGCATTTTTATAAGAAGAAAATTCAACTACATATAGCTCCTACTAGTTGTTATTAAGTATAGACAAAAAAAGGAGGGGGAGCGCTATAAAAAATGCCACAGCATCTTACAAACAATTTAAAGATTAAAAGGATAGAAGTGATTCAGTCATGAAAAGATATCACTGTATAGGGTTTTGTTTTGTTTTGTTTTAATTGGCTGAAGCTATTTGGTTTGTACCAGTACACTGGGAATATTTTAGATTACAATTTCTGGAGTCAAGTTGCCAAATTTGACTCCTAACACCACCACTTACTATCTGTCTGATTTTGGACAAATTGCTTAGTGTTTCAGTTTGAGGTTTTTATTCTGGAAAAGAGGAATAATAACAGTATTTTCCTAATGGGGTTGATTTGAAGATTGGCATGTATGTATGGTTCCTAAATGGTCCCTGGCACAGAAAAATGCTCAACACGCTTCCAATGCTGTTACTATTATTTCTGGAAACAATTACTGCTCTTGTAGTAATCTAGTTTTAATTTTCAATTTCCTAATCAAATTTCCTAATCTTATTTTTACCTTCATGTTTCAGGAAACATTTTATCGTCCTTATATTATAATACAGTAATTGAATTATAATTTTAATGGACAATTTCTTGATAATCTTAATGTCTACTTTCTTTTTATATTAATAAAAAAATTATATCGCACCAGTTTTAATAGCATAAAAGAACTAAAACAGATCATTTGTTTTAGGATGATTTAGAAGAAAAACAACTTAAATCTGTCAAGACATTGGTGCAGTATTATCAGAATGGATTTGTATCCTTTACTTATATATGTATGCTTATTTCATTTATCCTGAAATGGGAGAATTTTAATTAGAAAATGTATTCGTTTCCTATTGCTACTGTAAGTTACCACAGAGTACCTTAAAACAACATAAAATTTTTGTCTTATACTTCTGGAGGTCAGAAATCCAAAATCTGCTTCACTGAGCTAAAGGGAAGGTGTTCCTTTTGAAGGCTCTGAGGACAACTCATTTCCTTGCCGCTCCGGCTTCTAGAGGTGGCCTGCATTCCTCAGCCACTGGCCCCTTCCTCAAAGTGTCATCACTCTCGCCTCTGCTTCTGTCATGGCATTTCCTTCTCTGGTACTCCGCTGCCTCTCTCTTTCCCTTATAAGGACTCTGCGATTACATTGGTCTATCTGGATAATCTAGGGCAGTGGTTGGCAAACTCATTAGTCAACAGAGCCAAATATCAACAGTATTTCTTCAAAATAGACTCGCCCAGGCCGAAAACCGACTTCTGCGCATGGGCCACGAAGTTTCAATCGCACTGTACGTGCGCGCCCGCACGTGGTATTTTGTGGAAGAGCCACACTCAAGGGGCCAAAAAGCCACATGTGGCTCGAGAGCCGCAGTTTGCCGACCACGGATCTAGGGTAACTTTCTCATCTCAAGATTTTTAACTTAATCACTGAAAAGTCCCTTTGCCACGTAAGGTAACTTCATAAGTTCTGGGCATTAGGATGTGGACATCTTTGGACAGGCCATTCTGTCTACACAGAAAATAGCTAACATTTTGTTTTTTTTACAAAATTATATTTTTCATTTATCAGAAAATGAAATGTATAATTGAAAACAGTAAAATGCAGTTAATTTGGCGTAGATAATGGCAGTTCTAAAGACACAAAGAGACAGTGGATAAGGTTAGGAGGGCCATGTAATCTTATTTCTACCAATTTACTTGAGTACTTCTACTGTTAATAAGCTTATCATATTATAGGCATAACAGCACCTCATGAAAGTTGTTAGGAAGACTAGATGAGAAGACATGCAAGTGCTTGATAATCTGCAAAATATTACATAAACATAAGATAGTATCCTCACTAAATATACCACCCTGATCAGAATATGTGGAAACTCCTGTGTCTCAAAACTCATGCTTAAGAACTAATTTGTTATTGGGTAGCTGCTGTTGTTTTAATCTTTGCATAATATAATAATTTTGCCACAGGAAACTCTCACTTTCTGTAGTATTCTTGCTACAAAATCTATGAGATTTGTTTATGTACCAGTTGGGGTAATATAAAAGGTGCTTTTACCTGAAGATCTATAGGTAGTACATTTTGCTTTCATACTAGTTTTAAATGAAATAAGATCTCAACCAATTTAAACCTTAAAAACAAGAGAATGCATCTCAATAATATTAATAAAGTGATGCAGAAAAGTAAGATAGGTTTGGGTTTCTTATTCTGGAGCAGTTAATGTTTACTGTGAGTGGGTGGAGATGCCTTCATGATTTTAAATATGATTAAGCCATTAAGTTAATTTTTTTCAACTAAATCCGTAGGGTAGTAGTTGGTAATCAAATTCTAAAGGTGTTGTGAGAGGAGAAAAAAATATTTTGCGTAAAGGGTCACTGAGACAAAACTTAAATAATATTTCCTTAAAAATATGGTTCTAAGTTTTCCTCTTTAGTCCTTCAAGTTAGTATAATTAAAATAGTGTCACCCAGCCAGTGTTGCTGAGTGGCTGAGCATTGACCTAGGAACCAAGAGATCATGGTTCGATTCACAGTTAGGGCACATGCTCGGGTTGGGAGCTTGATTCTCAGTTGGGGGCATGCAGGAGGCAGCCAATCAAAGATGTTTCTCTCTCATCGATGTTTCTATCTCTCTATCCCTCTCTCTACCTCTCTCTAAAAAAAGAAAAATATCAATAAAAACATATTTTTTTAAATGTCAACCATATTTAACATTATAGGAATTCTATAGATTTTCTTGGCACAGGTGTTATAAAGGATATGTTCATAAATATAAATATATGAATCTTAATTTTATTTCTTAACTAAAAATACTAAAGCCCCTAAGGGATTTGGCACAGATATTTAAAATTCTGAATCTATGTGCAGGAAAAATTGAAAACCAGCCTCCTTTTCTAGAACCTGCCTATAATATCATAAAATTATGTGGGTAAGTTGTTTTCCTTTAACTTTATTTTATATTAGCATGCAGCATTTTATTATGTTTTATTTTGCATTATAAAAATATTATGCATTATGGTAGCATAGTGATGCAGAACTCAGAAAACTTCACTTGATCACTTACCAGCAGTTGGTATTTCAAAGGTAGTCAATTTTATTGTAGTCTGAGATTGCTTACCACAAGAGATTAAATTGCAAATATATTTTTAAAAATTTTCATAATAACTTGCTCTCACAGTAATGATAAATCCGAGATGAAACCAACAAATTGTAATATCTTTAGAGAATCCTTGAGACAATTTATGGACAATGCTTAATAGTTTTAGTCTAGTTTTCTTCTCTCTTTAGAAAATTTGACTCTCAAAGATGTATTAGGTTCTGATTCATGTTTAATTGATTTTCCAAATTTGAATAAAGAATAAAATGTCAACAATTATTTGTGATATATGTTTTTAATGTAATTAGAGGTCAGAATTATAAAATTAATCTGCACAATCCTCTGTGCTGTTGTTTCTCCAACCATTTCGGGGAACTAGGAATATTTTCTGCTTCCTTTCTGCCACATACTGGCTAATCAAGATACACATTAAAATCTCTGTTTTTAGTTTTCAATAAAATATAGTAGAGGAGATTTCTTAAAGTAGAAACAAACCTTCCTGGCAATTTAACCTTTCAAACTTTCCTACCAATTTAGCTTTTTAAATACTGTGTTTCTTTTAATATGCAAATATGATATTAGTGAGACTGTATACCTAGTAGGTTTTAACTCACATTTTTAGATTTAGCAGCAATAATATTTAAATTTTTATAATTACATTTACTTTTTTGATATCTGAACAAAATAATCAAAAATAATTTATTGAATGCCTTTGTCATGCCTTCCTTTTTAATAGAGACCATGAAAAATAAAGACCTAAAGAATCACTCTGGTGCTTTCAAGGAACTTTAATATAAATTGGCAATTATGATATTGATGTGAGATCATATATATAAAATGTTTTCGAATTTTGAAGCTGTGCAAGTCCTAGAAAACCAGGTTCATAAGTATGACTTTCAACATCAGTGCCCCTACAGAGCTCCATCAAGGACTTGTTCTCTGTGAGAGCTGTGACTAAGTATTTCATTATGTAATATGATAAATCTTTTTATTTTTTTATTTTATTTTTAAAAAATATATTTTATTGATTTTTTACAGAGAGGAAGGGAGAGGGATAGAGAGTTAGAAACATCGATGAGAGAGAAACATCGATCAGCTCCTGCACAACCCCTACTGGGTATGTGCCTGCAACCAAGGTACATGCCCTTGACCAGAATCGAACCTGGGACCCTTGAGTCTGCAGGCCGACGCTCTATCCACTGAGCCAAACCGGTTAGGGCGATAAATCTTTTTATTTACACTCTTTACTTTCCTTCATATTTCATAATTGTTCTTATTATTTTATTTTTCCCCCTACTTTCCTAATTTCTGCTTTTGTCCTGCATTTCTCCACACCTCATCCTCACTTGATTCACTTTTCAAGATATTTTGGGGAGATAAAAACATTGAAAGTAAAATACAGCCTTTCTGTTTTGGCTTATGAGTAGTATGCTTTTCTTATTGCATCAGAACTATAATGCTTGCCCTAGCTGGTTTGGCTCAGTGGATAGAGCATCGGCCTGCGACCTGAAGAGTCCCGGGTTTGATTCCAGTCAAGGGCACATGCCTGGGTTGCAGGCTCATTATGTCCCCAGTAGGGGGCGTGCAGGAAGCAGCCGATCAATGATTCCCTCTCATCATTGAAGTTTCTCTCTCTCCCTCTCCCTTCCTCTCTGAAATCAATAAAAATATATTTTTTAAAAAGAACTATAATGCTTATCTTTTTTCATACACTTTTTGGTGGAAAACTCTTCTGATGCTTTAACTTTTAGGTTGTTTCCTTTGGTAGCAAAGGGAAAAGTTTGAAGGACAAGTATAACTAATTTTTAGAGTTTAATATGTTATTTGTTGCAAATGAAAAATTTTGACCAACACTTGAAAGAAACTTCTGTGGCATTTATAAAATATTCCTTTTCATAGTTTGCCCTTGAAATATCTTTCAATTCCAACTGGTGCATATATATAAATCTCCACATGTGATATTTCTAAATGCTGTTTTTCAACTATTTGGTTAATTTTTCTTGAAAAGTGTTAATTAATAGTCCTATATATAGTACATATAAGATATATGTATTATATTTTAAACAAATAGTATAGGAGCTTCAAATTTTAAATTCATAAAATGCCAACATAGTTTTTCCTTTGTGTTTAAGAACTTTTATATCTCCTTTGACATTTAGACAAACGACCTAGGTTCTACTGCCTTATCTTTTATAATTTCTAAATAAATATTTTTCAAATAACTTTGATTATAGTAGTTGTGAAATGTGATCCTAACTTTAATTTCTTAGTGTCTCACAAAATATATCTGTTATTTTGTGGACAGTAACTGATCCAGTTAATAAGGGAAAGGTCATTGCCTTTTAAGAACAAATAGACCATTGATCTATTAACTAGTTTCAGAAACTTCCGAAAAAGCCCTTGAACAGCTTTTAAGTTACAGCTAAGCCCAGATCTGTGATTTGTATCAGATTATCCAATGTCTTCCTAATTTTGATGGAAGTACACCTACAATCACTTATTATTTTGCCTCCAAAGAGAAAGAGGATTTTTAAGGGTTGTTTTTTTTTGATGCAGTATTGCAAGATGGCTTTCTTAACCCTCACCTTTTGTCCACTTCTCTTCACTTTTATAAGTCTACTTTATTTTATTTATTATTGTTCAGTTAGTTAGAAACACACAAAAAATGTTTTTGATAGTCATCAATTCCCCAGGGCTAAAGAATAGAATATTATTCTCATTTTGTTCTTTAGAAAAGAAAATTTTCCCTGCTTTCCGAGTGATGCTTCAGTTAAGGACTTTATGAAACATAACTTGTACATTCTTTATTCTTATTGAAGCTTGCCATTCTTGAAAAAGAAAGTATCAGATGAAATAACATATGCTGAAGATACTGCTAAATCAATCGCGCTTCTGGGTAAGTTAAGATTGTTTTAAGATAGAGGATTATAATATATCAGGCCTGATTGATAAGAAAGAAATGTCTCTTTCACTAAATTTGACTAAGAGTCCTTCTCCAAATCTAGGCTCTTTTCTTGTTTTCTGGTTGAAAATTTATCATAGTGTGCTTGGTGATCATTTTTGTATTGTTTTCCCCTTGAGTCTTTTATGATACCAACAAGACTCTGTGTTCCTTAAATATAAGGACTGGCAGATACTTCTGTGTACTTATTTGTCTTGATTTTATTTAGTGCAATTAAATATTTGTTAACTTTTTTTTGTAAATTAGAAGTATGTGTCCCTCTCAGTAATTCCAAAAATGTTTTCAACTTTGCACTCTAATAATTCCTAGAATCATTAAAAGCCAAATTTTTCAGTAAACAACCTAATCATAAAATGGTGGAACATTAAGAACTTGAGCATAATATACATAAACATGAAGGTACCTGTGTTTTCTATTCAAAATATGAAAAACATAAAACAGCAGGCTTTGCTTTTTGGTTATTGCTTGATTTTCTAAAGAAAGAAAATAATTTTCTGGGAAATGAAATCAGTCAAACACTAGCTCCTTGATTCGCCCTTGAGTACATGACAGCATGTTCCCAAAACAATTCCTACATTAAATTTATACTTATTAATTTAGGTCCTTGTTTGTATAAGGGAACCAAAAGGTACAGAATTGGCCCAACAAATGAAAAATAGGTACTTACTGAACTGTTATGTTCCCAGTATTATATTCCATACTGAAAGATGAGAGAGACTCAACTAGAATAAGTAAAAAGCATTTTTAATTTTTAACATAGACACTAACACTTTTAGGTCTAAATATGTTTCATAGTTCCTAATTGTAGATATCTTGGGAATATTATTATGGTCTAGAGTAGGTGAAACATCAAGAAAATTAGGATACACACGAGGTATTAGATAAGGTGACCTTAAGGAGCAGGTGGGCTGAAAACTAATGGGAAACTTGAATGGTGAATCTCTACCATCAGTGGAAATTTACAATAGGAAGCCAACCCAAAAGAAGACATGGTATAACAGATAAGAAGCGTAAGTTTGGTTGATAACATTTTAAAAAATGCCACTATTGCCCTTATTATTTTTAAATGTTGCCTCCAAGAGTGTTGGCAGACATTTATATGATAAATACAAGGCCCATTTCTTACTGTGTCAATTTGCTCTTTGCTGGATGACTGCCCACCTACCAAACACACTCCTGTCGCACTTGAGGGCAATATGAACTCAGTTTAAAATGAGCTCTCTTTATATTGTTCTTTAGATTCCACATATAAATGAAATCATATGGTACTTATCTTTCTCTGGCTTATTTCACTTAGCATATTATTCTCCAGGTCCATCCATGCTGTTGAAAATGGTAAGATTTCATTCTTTTTTCTGACTGAGTAGTATTGTGTAAATGTACCATGGCTTTTTATCTACTCATTTACTGATGAGCACTTGGGCTGCTTCCAAATCTTGGCTATTGTAAATAATACTGTATTGATTTTCTGATGAGATATTTTTAAAAAACATATTACTAACACTTTATGCTTAAATTTGCAAATAAACTATGACAGTGTTATTAAATAGTATTCATTTATCTTTCTGGCAGGTAACTTAATGAAAATACCAAGTTCTGAATTGAGGGTACAAATTTGTAAGTGTATTGTTGACTTTTATCATGCAGAACCATCAAAGAAGCATATTACAGGTGAAGTTTTCAATGGTCTTTCAGTAATAACATCCTATCCTATATAATAAAGAGCTAATATGCAAATGGTCATCACACCCTCATGCCGTCACACTGTAATGGCTTAGACACTCAACACTGGGGAAAGAGAATTGGGGACCAGCCAGGCACAAATGAGCTCGCGAGAGAGGAATGGGGACCAGCCAGGCTGAGGCCCGGGAAAGGGACAAGCCGCCCGCCCCACAGTCCCGGGTGCATGTGGCTGCGGCCCGGGCAAAGCTGCCTGCCCACAGTCCCCTGTGGCTGTGGCCAGCCTGGGTGAAGCCAGCCCAGGTCCTGGGTGCCTGTGACCTGCCAGAGAAGGGAATCCTGGGTCTCAGGTGCAGGGCGAGGCAGAGGCGGTTAGGCACGATCAGGCCAGCAGGGGAGCAGTCAGGGGCAATCAGGCAGGCAGGCGAGAGGTTAGGAGCCAGGGGTCCCGGATTGCGAAAGGCAGTCAGACATCCCCTGAGGGGGTCCCAGATTGGAGAAGGTGCAGGCCAGGCTGAGGGACGCACCTCCTGTGCACGAATTTTGTGCACCAGGCCTCTAGTCCTATATAAAAGGCTAATCTGCAAATCAACCGAACGGTGGAATGACCAGTTGCTATGACATGCACTGACCACCAGGGGGCAGATGCTCAACGCAGGAGCATGGCTCAGTCAGAAGCCGGGCTAACTGCTGGTGAATGCAGCTGCGGTGGCGGGAGCCTCTCCTGCCTCTGCGGCAGCACTAAGGATGTCTGACTGACTGTTAGGCGACATCCCCCGAGGGCTCCCAGACTACAAGAGGGTGCAGGCTGGGCTGAGGGACCCCCCAAGTGCATGAATTTCGTGTCTTTATAAAACAGAATATTCTGTCCCATTTCTCTTTGAAATTGGGAAGAGAGTGGGATCATAAATGCAGCATATCAAAAAAAATTTTTTTTGGTAGTCTCAAGCTCTTTGGTCATTTTAAATTGAAAATTTTATATATTTTTTTAAATTTTAGATTTGCATGATATTTTTATTTTGATGCTAAATATTTATGATGTAATTTTTAAAGTCATACCCAAATTAGTGTAATTATTATTATTAGTTAATGTTAATTAATAGTGTTGCTAATATTATTTATTCTTTTCTAATTGTGTGAATCACACTGAATTGGGTGATATTAAGCAAAAAGCACTGGCACTGTGGAGGATATCATGTCATAGTTTCTATAATTTATAATCAATCTAGGAAGGGAGAGAATATATAAATTATATTTTTTAAGTTACATGTTTCTTAAGATAAGTGGAAATAAGACACCGTGGTAGAAAACAAAGATTACTCCTATAACTAGGGGAAAATGGGAAGACATCTGAAGTAAAGAAATGAATAAAAACATTTTTAAATGCCAGATTTGCACTATTGATGAGACAGACAAGTGGAAGTGTTTGGTAGATAGTAGACATTCGATACTAAAAGAAGAGACCAGAAATACAGGTTTGGATTTTATACAAATAGAGATGAAATTGAAGCCATCAGAATGGTTGAGTTTGCCAAAAGCAAGGGAACAAGAATAACATCATGGAGAGTGCCCCTACTGAACTTTGGGAAAAAAATGATTCAAAGAAATTGGCAGTGAAGGGAGGTTTAAAGAGAGGAAGAGAATCTAAAGATAGGCATGTCTTGAGTGCCAATGAATGAATGTTTGATGAAGGAAGAAATGGTCTCAGTGGCCAATACTGCAGAGGCTTCTGTAATTGAGGAATGAAAAGGCCAATGTGGTATCTGGAAAGTTGTGGTTAATCTTTGTCAGATTATTACCATAAAGTGGTCAGAGCAGGTGTAGGATTAAAGAGCACTCTGAAAGTGGAGGCAATGGGAGTGAATGTAGACAGACTTATATTTTAAGATCAGAAGAAGAAGGAAGATGGCTAACAGCCTAACTGGTAGCAAGATCAAAGAAAAACATGTTGTTTTTAATTTGTCTAAAAATGAAGTTTGTAGGCCTAGGAACAAGAAGCTAGTATGTGGGAGATGGGAGGGTGAAAATCCCAAAGTAAGCATGAGAGGATGGAATTAAGAGCAAAAGCTTAGGGTTAAACTTGGTAAAATAGAGGCACTCTTCTTTCAGATAGAAAGGGACGTGTATGAGATACGACAGAAGAGTGAAGGTGCCAAGAAGTGAGCTTGACCTTACTTTGATCAGGCTCTGAAAATTAGGAGCCATTGACCAGGCTCTCGCTAACTGTTTCACAGTTGATTTTAAGTGATGGGCACAGCTGATCACAGCTGAAAAGTCCTCAGTAGAGCAATTGTAAGAGACACAGCCCGGGAGATAGGAATCAAGGCCTTAATAATTGTAAACTCAATAGAAAAAGATACAGTGATATAAAGTATACATTTTGGTCTGTACCTCCAATAGAGCATTATGCAAGTAAAAATTATATGTGACAAGGGGAAAAGCTTACTATAAAATGTTTAGTGGCTGCAGTAGAATATACAATTCTGCATATATGTAGTATATTGCTAAAGTAATATGCATACATTAAAGTGTCAGCAGAAAATATACCAAAGTGTTAATATTGTTATCTCTAGACAGTGAAATTACAGGCAATTTTTGTTTTCCTCTTCATACTTTTTAAGTGCCGAACCCATCACAGGAGGGGACGGCCTTGAACAGGGTCAGACCTCAAATTCAGAAAGATAAGACAGACTGAGAGACATCTCAGAACTATGGCAAGAAATCTAGTTGGTCTCAAAAGTCAAGAAGTCAGGGAGGTAGATGAGTTATATCACTGAGAGAGAAAATAGCTGCATCTCAGGTGAGCAAACATGCACTGATGTTCGTTTAATCTCATTACATGTAGTTGGGCAGGCACCTGTGCAATTATGTCAAAAGGAGAGGTAGTATTTCCCATGAAAGCTAAGGAGGAAGGAAATTCTTGTGGGACATACCGCCAAGAATCAAACTTCCCTAACATACCATTACATTCACTAGCATCTATCAGAACAGCATTACCTCTTATTTCATTGCCAACATCACATAATTGCTGGTTCTGGAAAGCACTGAAGTAATGTGTTGACTTGAACAGTGAAAACATTCAGGGTCTGTAATCATGACATTTTTCTTTATGGAAAGACATATCTACTGACAAATAAAAAATATTGTTCCTTTTCAGAATTTAAGATGTGCCCCCAAATTTGTGGGATCAGCAAACTATGGACCACAGGCCAAAAGAGCCCACTATAAATAAAGTTTTACTGGAACACAGCCATGCCCACTTATTTTTATATTGTTTATGCCTGTTTTTATGGTATGGTAGCAGAGTTGAGTATTTGCAACAGAAACCTTATGACCCACAAGGTCTAAAATTGCTGGCCCTTTATAGAAAAAGTTTGCCTGTCCCTCTGCTAACCATTTTAATATGCCATACACTTTTTAAACATTTTGTTGTTATTGTTGTTGTTTATTGATAAATTACTCATTCCTTTGTCTTAACGTAGATGATACTATGTGAAATAACTGCACATATTTATTAACTAATTGTTGTTAGGTTACCAGCAAGCTAGCTCAGCATATAAGATTCAAATGGCTGAAGTCGGAGGATTGGCAAAAACAATGGTTCAGTCATTGGCCTTGCTTGAAAATCAACTTGTTGAGAAACTTTGGGTACTTAAAGCTCTGCAACATCTCTCAACTTCTGGTTTGTATATTATTAAATATGAACACTTCATTCCCCACTAATTTTGTTTCTATTTAATGTCAAGACTGTAACATAAACTATTTTTATTTAAATTTTTTTTCAGAAGTTAATTGTACTTTAATGATGAAAGCATATGCAGCCAGTGGCATCTGTGCTCACCTCAATGACCCAGATCCCTCTGGGCAGCTTCTGTTTCGCTCATCAGAAATACTTTGGAACTTACTAGAAAAATCATCAAAAGAAGAAATCATAAAACAACTTAGTAACCTGAAGTGTTTGCTGTAAGTATATGTGGTTAACTAGGAATGTTTTTTATCCTTGTGACATAACTAACATTTTTGTTTGCATTTGTGTTTCATTGGGCTTTGATTCATGTAATGGCTATGTTTTAGGACATCTCTTTTGTGCCGTTGTATAAATTCATCTGCACACAACAAGCCCCCTTTTTTTTCTACGTGGAAGGGATTTAAAGTAGCTTGTTAACAAAACTAAATTATGTCTTTGAATATGTATAAAGTAAAATTAGACATTTAAAAGAACTATTTTGTTTGTTCATTCAATAAATGTATTTTTGAATACTAGAAATCTAGTTGGTCTCAAAAGCTTATTCTAATTACTGAATAAACATTAGCAAAAATAAGAGTAAGCCTGTGAGTTACTCATTCATTTATTTATTAAGTAACTATTGTTTGCTCTGTGCCAAGTTCAGTAGTAGGCCATAGAAAGACAATTGAAAACAATACAGACATGGTCTCTGCTCTCCTGGAATTTGTTATGTTAGGAGAGACAGACAATTAAATAGGTAACTAATTGCGAGCCTACTAAATGCTATGGAAGACATTATCGTAAGGTGCCACGTGTTTTCCAGGAGAGGGTGAACCAGTACATTTTTGTCTGCAAGTGACTGAACATTCAACCCAACTGATTGAAGCAATTATAAGAAATTTATGAGCTATTGTAACTACAAAGTCAAGGGTAAAACTGGTTTCATGTGCAGCTGTATTCAAAGTCTAGACTCGCAGCATCATAACCCCAAATCACACAGGAGAGAAAGTGTGCTCTTCTGAAAGCACAAAGAAAATTCTTTGAATTGAGTCCCTGTGGGACCTGAGCATTCAGTGTTGGCCATATGCTCATTCCAGAGTGAATTACTAGTGACAAAGAGAAAGAATGCTCTTTGGCTAAAAGGAAGCTGAAGGCTGCTCACAAAACCAAAAGTGAGGAAAGAGGGAAGCCTAAATAAAAACAAGGGCACTGTTATCACAAGAAGGGTAAGTGGGTCCCAGGAAGCAAAGCAACAGCTGCGCATTGTGCAGGGAGCCTGACCCAGACTCGGAGAGTTACTGAATGCTTCCTCATGAGCCCTAACCTGGTATCTGAATAATAAATACAAACTGGCAACACAGGAGGGTTTTGCATGCAAAGAGCGTCCTAGACAAGAGAACAGAAGTGAAAATAGAATGTAGCAAAATCAAAAACCTGAAAAATTCGATATGGATGAGGAGCAGAAAGTTCAACGTAGAATAGTGAGGGATGAAGCTAACAATGTTAGCAGGGACAGTGAATTAGGGGCAGACTTGGAAATATAGAAAAGATTAGAAATGCTTTGCAATGAATAATATAATATGAAAAAGGAGATTTTGTTGACAGACACATAAGTAATATTTCCATAAGAATATGGTTTTAAAAGTATGATTTTACTTTCCAGAACTTTAAAGGAAGTTTTCAAACATCTGTTTACAAGAGGTTTTAGTGATTATGACCGTCAGCTTAGAAACGATATATTAGTGATCACTACAATTATATCTCAAAATCCTGAAGCACCAATGGTTGTAAGTATGAGTAAATTGTATTAATTTAGATTGTGGATGGGGGTGGGAGTGTGGGGAGGGAGCAGTAAACTATGTCCTAATATTTATGTACTTTGTTGTAATGCCAAGTTCTGTGGTAATTTAGAATGGTCACCAGTATAGTCACACTCTGCCAATTCTTCTTCCTGTTGCCTTTGGAAACTTGAGGTATTCATCTAATCTAATAAAAGAGAAACATGCAAATTGACCGCACCTCTGCTATGCCCAAGCCACGCCTACCAGGCAATCAGAGTGACTATATGCAAATTAACACAACCAAGATGGCGACCGGCAGACACGGAGCTGGAGCAAGCAGGAGGCTTGGTTTCCCCGGCGATGGAGGAAGCCAAGCTTCCCGCCTGCCCTGGCAGCCCTGAGCTCCGTTGAAGGCAACAAAGTTTCAATTATAGAAGACAAATAAATCCCAGATACCTGCTTCCAGCCAGCCTCCACTGGGAGCTTGGGTGGCTGGGGGCCGTGGCCAGCCTGCAAACAGCCACCGGCACCTCACCCAGGCTGGCCAGGCACCCCAGGGGGGAACCCCACCTTAAAGGGGGTGTGGCCAGCCTACAAACAGCCATCAGCCCCTCACCCATGCTGGCCAGGCACCCCAGTGGGGACTCTCACCCAGAAGGGGCTGTGGCCAGCCTGCAAACAGCCATCAGCCCCTCACCCAGGCTGGCCAGGCACCCCAGGGGGGAACCCCACCTTAAAGGGGGTGTGGCCAGCCTACAAACAGCCATCAGCCCCTCACCCATGCTGGCCAGGCACCCCAGTGGGGACTCTCACCCAGAAGGGGCTGTGGCCAGCCTGCAAACAGCCATCAGCCCCTCACCCAGGCTGGCCAGGCACCCCAGGGGGGAACCCCACCTTAAAGGGGGTGTGGCCAGCCTGCAAACAACCATCAGCCACTCACCCAAGCTGGCCAGGCACCCAAGCAGGACTCCCACCCTTATCCGGGACACACTTCAAGGCAAACAAGCTGGCCCCCACCCATGCACCATAATATAATAAATAAAAGGGTAATATGCTAATTGACCCTAACAGCAGAACAACTGGGAATGACTGGTCACTATGACACACACTGACCACCTGGGGGCAGACGCTCAATGCAGGAGCTGCACCCGGTGGTCAATGTGCTCCCACAGGGGGAGCTCTGCTCAGCCACAAGCCAGGCTGACGGCTTCCAGTATAGCGGTGGTGGTGGGAGCCTCTCCCGCTTCCTCAGCAGCACTAAGGATGTCCGACTGCAGTTTAGGCCTGCTCCTCGCTGGCAAATGGACATCCACCAAGGGCTCCCGGGCTTCCAGAGGGATGTCTGACTGCCAGCTTAGGCCTAATCCCCCGGGGAGCGGGCCTAAGCCAGCAGGTGGTCATCCCCCCCCCCACCCCCGAGGGGCCCCAGACTGCGGGAAGACACAGGCCAGGCTGAGGGACCCCCCCTCCCAAGTGCACAAATTTTTGTGCAACGGGCCTCTAATATTTTATAATTTACTCACATCTTTACCATTTATAATGTTTTTCTTTACTTCCTGATGATATGAGTTTTTAGCTGCTATTATTTCTCTTTTACCTGAACAACTTGCTGTACTATTTCTTGTGATGTTGGCTGCTGGCAACATATTCTCTTAGTTTTGTTTTGTGTATTATTTTTATCTGAAAATGTCTTTAATTCACCTTAATCCTTGAAATCTATGTTCACAGAATATAGAATTCTAGGTTAAAGTTTTTATTTTTTAGCACTTTAAAGATATTATTCCACTATCCTTGGGCCTCCATTGTTTCTGATAAGTATTTGTTATTTCAAATTGTTCCCCTCTGTTTTCTGGCTGTTTTTAAAGATTTTCCCTCTGTCTTTGGTTTACAGCAGTTGTACTCTGATAAGCCAAGATATGATTTTCTTTGTATTTGTCCTACTTGAGGTTCATAGAACTTCCTGAATATGTCAATTTAGGTCTTTCACTAAATTTAAAGAATTTTTGGCCATTATTTTTCAAGTGCTTTCAACCTCATTCTTTCTTCTTCTTTTGGAACTCTGATTACATGTATGGTCCACTTTTTTATATTGTCTCACAGGTTTGTGAAGCTCTGTTCACTTTTTCCTATTATTTTTCTCTCTATCCCTCAGATGGGATCATTTGTATTGTTCTATATATTTAAATTCACTTAGTTTTTTCCTGTCCTCTCCATTCTGCTGTTAATCCCATCCAATACATTTTTATTTAAGATGTTATCTTTTACAGTTTTAGAATTTCCTTTTGGCTCCTTTCTATAATTTATATTTCTTGGCTGAGAGTTGCTGTCTTTCCATTCATTATGAGCATCTGGTGTATTCCTCTGAAAAGTGTTTTGTTTTGTTGTTGTTGTTGTTTTTTGTATTAATAGGCATTTAATTTGGCTAAACTCATCCCAACAGTAGATGGCAGCTCCAATCTCAGTTCATTTCTTTTAGTCTCTCATATGAAATGCTTGAGTATGCCCTGCCCTTACATGGTTCAGGCATCAGGCAGAGATTTGGGAATTTTATATACAGAATTTGGGGTTCCCTTCCTCTGGCCCTCTTCTTTTTATATATTTATAGTTATTGATTTTAGAGAGGAAGCGAGAGGGGGAGAGAGAAACAATGATGAGAGAGAATCATTGATTGGCTGCCTCCTGCACACCCCCTATTGAGGATTGAGCCTGCAACCCGGGCATGTGCCCTTCACTGGAATTGAACCTGGGACCCTTCAGTCCACAAGCCAATGCTCTATCCACTGAGCCAAACCAGCTAGGACTGGCTCTCTTCTTTATGAGATTTATCCCTTCACTTTCCAGTGGCAGTGGTTGCCCTGTGATTGCTTCTGCCCTCTGGTTCTTCAAGCCATTAAGATTGCAAATTTACCCTGTTATTTAGCATTCCCACAAGGTGTAGACTAGAGGCTGGGCTTATTTTCAAAGCTTTTTATTTTATTTTAAGGGAAAACTCATGCAGTGCCACTTCCTCAAAGTCCTGACTCCCCTCCAATATCTGCTTGGTTTTGGTCACAGATAAATGTTTTTATATTTTATTCAGAATTTATAATTGGCACCGGCAAGAGGGTGTCTTAGAGGAGCTACTCAGCTATATCAGAAGCTTAGCTTCCCCATATTTTATACTGTAAAAGTCACTGGATGATTGACATCCTAGAGTAGAGATCTTTGCCCACAATATTCACGTATCAGCCACATACTTTCTAAGTTGTACTTAAAGGAAATTTGGCAGTGAAGGCGACAACTCCAAGTTAATGGGCATCAAGTGATCCCAAATAAGAGAACGGTCATGGAATTCATACTGTGTAAAAGGGGAAGCAGGCCCACATAGCTTCCTCGTCAAGGCTGCCATGTGTATGTGGATATATGTGTTTCTCTGGAAGCCTTAGTCAGTTAAGTTCTCATTAGCATCCTTGCAAACATTCGTGTGAATTTTCTGAATGTGAGTCAAAGCAATAACATCTCCACATTTTAAAGAAACCATCTTGATTCTAAATAGGAGGTACGTAAAACTGTAAGCTCAAAAGTCCAGGGTTTGCCCTTACAAACTCTACCTGACATATAGAGTCCAATTAGGATATCTCTGTCAGGAATGAGTTCCCTCACAGTGAGATGTTTGCAATTCTGGTCTTTCTTGAGGGCTTTTCATGTTAAGTAGGAACTGTTTTGTTACCTTTTGCCTAAACCTTTGACGTAATGACAGTGGTTGGGGCTAGGGTGGGAGCAGGGTTGTTTAAGGAGAAAAACTATTGAAAAGAATTACTTTTGTCTGGCCAGCGTGGCTCAGTGGTTGAGTGTTGACCTATGAACCAGGAGGTCATGATTGGATTCCTGGTTAGGGCACATGCCTCGGTTGCAGGCTCAATCCTGAGAGTGGGGCATGCCGGAGGCAGCCAATCATTGATTATCTCTCATCATTGATGTTTCTCTCTCTCTCCTTCTCCCTTTCTCACTAAAATAAATAAAAATATATTTTTTAAAAAGAAAACTACTTTCTTCCCTTATTTTGTCAATTGAAGGTATAAATAATGAATTACATAAGTAACTTTTTGTCTTAATACTTTGGATTTTTAACCAAATTTTAAAATTATAAAATAGTCTTGAATAATATATTCCTAAGTAAAATATTTCTTAGAACCTAAATTTAAGTTTATCTGGTTATCTATTTTCTTTTCTTGCTTTCATCCCTTCCTATTATTAGTGCTTTATGATCAAATAAATGATAAGGGGAATCTAGTAAAGATACTTGAATATTAGATAAATATGGGCATCTGTAACTTACTTTCCACTCTGTTTTATGTATCTATATTAGGAATGTGGCTTTACCAGGGATTTGATACTATTTGCAACCTTTAATGAAGGTAAAAACCATAAAACTTTCAACCTATAATTATCTTGATGAGCCTTCTATATCTATTTAGCTTTTATTTTACTGTTTCTGTTTTCCCCCCTCACAGTTAAAAGTGAAGATCCTTTGGTAAAAGGTCTAAAGCTTTCTAATTCCTATGAAGATTTTGAGTTGAAGAAATTGCTGTTCAATATACTAGTGATCTTATGTAAAGATTTAACTACAGTACAGGTAAAGCATAATTAAAACAAATATTAAAAGTGACTCACCTTGTAGTATAACTTTTTAAAAGTCATGGCTGCAAATATTTTATCGACCAAAATGTTTACCATCGAACGTAACAAACTCTTATTGGCTGGAGTTTCATCTTTTAAAAATTTCCTTTGATTATCAGTAAATAAACAGTGAACTTACCTAAATATAGACCATATAAACCAAAGAAAAACAGGAGAAACTTAGAGATTTATTTATATATTTAGTTCTCCTCAATAAGAGAACATAAAATGAAAGAAGATCCATATAGGCCCATCTAGCATAATAGTCTGTCTCTGACCATGGCAGCAAGGGTTGATTCTGCTGGAGGAATGCTAATATTTGCTGCCAATCTCAAACCCTTTTGAACCTGCCCTTCTCCATACCAACCTAATGTCTTTACGTTGTTTTTTTATTATCCATGAATTTGTCTTAATCCTTTACAACCTACATAACAGCATGATGTAATTTGAAGAACACTGGGACTGAATTTTACTTCTGTTTTATCACCTACTAGCCATGTGGTCTTGGCAGAATCACCTAAACTTTCTGAGACTCAGTCCCTCCTTCTATAAAAGGAAGATCATAAAACTCCTGCCCTGCTTACAAGGCTGTTATGAGATTGATTCAAGAGATTAAGATGAAGGCTTCATAAACTGTAAAGTGACAGAAAAAAAAAATGTACTACTTACAATCCCGTTAGTTTAGTTATTTCCCACGTTAAGTGAAGTTTCATTTTAGTCCTAAAACTCATTCAATCTCCAGGGGGTTACCATGAAAAAGAACGGGGAATTCATTCTGTCAGCATCTTGAATGATAATTTAAAGGTGGTTTGCATAGTGGTTAAGGCTCCTGTCAGATGGAATCCAGTGCTGTCACTTTCTAACTATGTGATCTTGAATACTAGTGGGTTTAGTTTCTCTAAATCCCACATATCTCTACTTCAAATTGAGTGTAATACCTACCTCAGGGGATTATTATGAAGATTAAAAGAGCTCAGAATTTTCTCGGTAATGCCACTTTGATGAATATATATACTAAAAAATGCTCAGAAAAAGTAAAAAATATCTTTATAGTTATAACTTTATTATATCAAATATATATGTATACAT